TCTGTTTAAACTGTTGATCTCTTTTTGGTTTAGCTTTAGTGGTTCCCATGATTTTACATATCCATCCTTTTCTTTTAGGTTTTCAAATTTAGTAGTGTATAGATTTTTAAAGTGCTCCCTTATAATGTTCTGGATCTTTTTGGTGTCTCTTGTGATGTTTCCCCTTTTATCTCTGATTTTGTTGATTTGGATTTGCTCTTTTTTCTTTGGTTAACTGGGCTAAGACTCTGTCTTATTTAGCTTTTCAAAGAACCAGCTCTTAGATTCATTGATTCTTTGTATTGTTTTCTTTGTTTCTATTAATTTCTACTCTGATTTTTGTTATTTATTTTTGTCTGCTGGGTTTGAGTTTAATTTGTTCTTGCCTTTCCAGAGTCTTCAGTTGCAATGTTAAATCATTTATTTGTGCTTTCTGATTTTTTTTTTTTTTTTGGTCTTTTAGCCCCAGCTGGCCTGGAACTTGCTATGTAGACCAGGCTGGCCTCGAACTCACAGAGATCTGCCTGCTTCTGCCTCCCAAGTGCTGGGATTGAAGGCATGTGCCACCATGCCCAGCTGATTTTTTAATGTGCACACTTAAAGCTATAAACTTCCCTCTAAGGACTGCTTTTATTTTATTTATTATTTTTTTTTTGTCTTTTTGAGACAGGGTCTCCCTGTAGTCCCAGCTGACCTGAACTCACTATGTAGACCAGGCTGGCCTTGAACTCACAAGGATCTGCCTGCCTCTGCCTCCCGAGTGCTGGGATTAAAGGCATCCGCCATCACTCCTGGCTTATTATTACTTTTTCATATTTTATTTATTTTTATTTTATGTGTATGCATGTATTGCCTGCGTATAGATTGTGCAATACCTGCGGAGGACAGAAGAAGCTGTTGGATCCCCTAGAACTGGAGTTATAGACAGTTGTTAGCTACCATGTAGATGCTGGGATTCAAACCTGGGTCTTCTGCAAGAACAGTCAGTGGTTCCTAACCGTTGAGCCACCTCTCCAGCTCCAGGACTACTTTTAAAGTGTCCCAGAGATTTTGTTGTGTTGTATTGTCCTTTTCATTTAGTTTCAGGAATGTTTTTATTTCTTTCTTAATTTCTTCTTTGACCCATTCAGGAGTGTGTTGTTTAATCTCCATGAGTTTGTGTAGTTACTAGGGCTTCTTTTGGTGTTAATTTTAAGCTTTATTACATTGTGGTCTGATAGAATGCATGGAATTATTTCAATTTTTTGTGTTTGTTGAGGTTTGTTTTGTGCTCCAGTGTGTGGTCAATTTTAGAGAAAGTTCTATGGAGTGCTGAATAGAAAGTGTATTCTTTGGTGCTCTGTTGGAATATTTAGTAGATGTCTGTTATTTTCATTTGATGAATAGCATAATTTAATTGCGATGTCTCTCTGTTTATTCTTTGTCCAGTTGACCTGTCTAATGAAGACAGTAGGGTATTGAAGTCTCCTACTATTACTGAATTTGGGTTAATATGTGTCTTAAAGTCCTGTAGTGTTGTTTTTATGAATTTGGGTATACCAGAGTTTGGTGCATATATGTTTAGGATTATACTATCTTCTTGGTCAATTGTTCCTTTGATCAGAATGAAGTGGCCCTCTATCTCTTCTGATTAGTTTCAGTTTGAAGACTATTTTGTCACATATTAGAATTGCAACCCCTGTTTGTTTCTTAGTGCCATATGCTTGGAATATTCTTTTCTATCCTTTTACCTTAATGTAGTGCCTGTCCTTGAAGATGAGATGGATTTCTTGCAGACAACAACAAGATAGATTTTGTTTCTTTTTGTTTGTTTGTTTTTATTCTTGTTTTTGGTCTTTTTGAGACAGGGTCTCCCTGTAGCCCTAGCTGGCCTGTAACTCACTATGTAGACCAGGCAGGCCTTGAACTCACAGAAATCCACCTGCCTCAGCCTCTTGAGTGCTAGGATTAAAGGTGTGTGCTACCATACCCAGCAAGATTTTGTTTCTTAATCCGTTCCATCAGACTGTGTCTTTTGACTGGGAAGTTCAGTCCATTGATATTTAAAGCTATTATTGAAAGATGTATATTGATTTCTGTCATTTTAATTTCTGTTTCCATTCTTGATCTAATTTTGTGTTTCCACAATTATACTTTCATTTAATTTCTTTCTGTTGCCCCTTGGGTGTAGTTGTTCCTTTTTCCAGTCTTTGTATTGCTTCAAGTATTCTCTGATATGTATTCTTTCAGTCTATTCACATCATGGAAGATTTTTCTTTCCCCTTCAACTATAATAGACATTTTTGTTGGGTAAAGTATTCTGGACTGGCATCTATGGTCATTTAGAACCGAGAATGCTTTGGTCCAGGCTCTTCTGGCTTTCATAGTTTGCACTGATAAGTCAGCTCTAATTCTGATGGGTTTTCCTTTATATGTGAGTTGTTTTTCTTTTGAGGTTTCAGTATTCTCTCTTTGTTCTGTACATTTAATGTGATAGGCTGTGAGGAGTTTCTTTTCTGGTCCTGTCTCTTTAGCATCTATGTGCTTCTTGTATTTGTATGGAGATGTCTTTCCTTAATTTTGGGAAATTCTCTTCTACAATCCTATTTAAGATCTGGTCAGTACCATTAACCTGAAATTTTTCTCCTTCCTCTATGCCTATGATGTATAAATTTGATCTTTTCATGGTGTCCCACATTTCCTGAATATTCCATTCCTGTGATTGTGAATTTTTTTTTCATAATCTTTGCTTGAGTGGTCCAATTCTTTAACTTTATTGCCCAGTCTTGATGTTCTGTTTTCTATTTCATTCATTCTATCAGTGAGACTTTCACCTGTTGTTTCAAAGTGACTTATTGAATTTTTCACTTCCTTCATTTCAGCTTGAGTTTTCTTCAGTATTTCTCTTTTGTGAATTCAGTCAGAATTCATAAAATCTTTTAGTTTTTTGATTTGTTTGTGTGTTTTTTAAATTCGTTGAATTTTTTAATCATGTTTATGATTGTTCTTTTAAATTCTGTGCCCTGGGTTATCTCTAGGGGGTTTTCCTTGTAGAACTCTTCTATAGGAATGGTGGTGTTTGGTAGGAACATATTATTTTGGTTTTCCATATTATTTTTTTCAATGTGATTTTGGCATGTGGATTTCCTTTGTGATTTGTGATGCTGGTGTGAAACTCAAGCCTTCCTTTGTTGAGTTGAAGTCTGCTTCTGTTTGTATTATTGCTGTGCCTTGGTTGTTTCCTACTTGGTATGTAAAGTTGGTTGGTCTCCGCGTCTGGTTTTCTCAAGATTTTATATTGGAGGGGCCGGATGGCTTCAGTCCAGCTACTCAGGAGCTCTAGCACACGGAGGTTGGATCCAGGCACTCTCAGGCAGTCTGCTAAGGTCTGGGCCCCTACTGTAGGCAGAGAAGCCTAGCTTTGTCTCTTTTGAAAATGAGATGAGGAACAGGTCTTTAGGTCTTCCTAAAACAAAGACCTCTAGATAGACAAGTAGTGGGGAACGGCTGGGTGTGCTGACAACACAGCAGACAGTAGCAGGCTCTGGGGGGGAGGCCGGCTATGGGAGGGTGCGATCTGGGAAGTGGGTGTATAGATGAATAAGATGGTTTGGGATGTTCCGTGTGATACACAAACACACACACACACACACACACACACACACACACACACACACACACACACACACACACACACACACACACACACACACACAAATCAACAAATTTGAAAAAAAAAAGAATTATATTTGAGGAGGAAGCATAGAAACTTATATCATGTTAATTAGTAGAGGTGATAAACATTACCATTGAAATCTACCCGATGACTTTATAGACATACACAGGTGCCAAGGATCCGAGTGCAACCGATTATGACTAGTAATAATCAGATACATACATATTAGAGATGCATGCACCAACATCACAGTGTTATTAGCAAAAACAATGTGTCTTTCTGTAAGAAACAGTATATTTTAAAATGAAATGGAGATCTTTTTTAAAGGTTAAAAACTCATTCAAGGCCGTGTGTGGTGGCACACACCTTTAATCCTGGTACTCGGGAGGCAGAGGCAGGCGGATCTCTGTGAGTTCAAGGCCAGCCTGGTTCACATAGTGAATTCCAGGACAGCTGGGACTACAGGGAGACCCTGTCTCAAAAAGACCAAAAAAAAAAAACCCCCAAAAAACCTCATTCAATTTTATGTCTTACAGGCTTTATGCTGAGTTCAATAATGTATAACTGTATTAATTCAACAGTGAACCTCAAAATTTTATAGCCACTTTTGAAAGAAATGCATCTTTGCTCTGGAAAGTGTTATTGAGTATGTTAAATGCTTCTAAAAAATAAAAAAAGAAATATAAAAATCTTTTTAAAATTGTTTCTTAATTTTCTGTGTATGAGTGTATTGCCTGCATGTGTATAAGTGCACCTGTGTCATGCAATGCCCATGGAGGTCAGAAGAGTGTGTCTCCCCCTGGAACTGCACTTACAGACAGTTGTTAGCAACCACATGGGTGCTGGGAACTGAACCTGGGTCCTCTGCAAGAGCAGCCAATGCTCTTAACTGCTGAGTCATCTCTGCAGCCCCCAATGCTATGCCTGCTACATTTGATTTTTCACAACAGCTCTTTGAGATAAATACTATTGTCACTTAGAAACAATAGTCAAAGATGTTAAGAATTTTGTGCAAGATTCAAAGTGATGACTGAGCTAGATACAAAACCTGACTTCCTGAATTCTAGTGCTCTTCTGCTTTGCCCCCACTGGTGCTCTCCAGTAACTATTACAACTTGGTGCATACTTTGACATCCATGATCTCTTGTGAAGTATTTGAAGCCTCAGATTGAGAATGTATGGGGGTTCTTTAAGGGTCACATGCTAATCGACTGCTGTTTATGAACCTCTCCCTCCCAGACAGAGGATATGGGACTCTACATCACCTCCAGGCACACCTGGTTGATTCAGGATTGCAAGGCCCTTGGGCCCGAGCTGCTTTCTTGCTCCTGTTGCATATGCTGAGTTCTCCCTTCTCCCTCCTCAGCTGAAAATAGGACCAATAGCACCCAGGAGAAGCAGCACCAGTGGTCAAGCTGTGACCAGCAAGACAAGATGCTCAACCTGGGCTTCACCATTGGCTCCTTTCTGCTGAGTGCTACCACACTGCCACTGGGGATCCTCATGGACCGCTTTGGGCCCCGGCCTCTGCGCCTGGTGGGCAGGTGAGCTGGCTGGGCTGGGGAGATGGAGGTAGGTCAAGCAGGTACTACAGGGGGAAGGGAGGCTCACAAGTCAGTGTCTCCCCTTTCCTTGTGCCCCCACAGTGCCTGCTTTGCTGCATCCTGTACTCTCATGGCCTTGGCCTCTCGGGACACTGAAGGTGAGCCATCTGCCCTCTGTGCCTTCTCCAGAATGGGGAGGGGAGAGGATGAAGGTGGACACTGACTCTAACTCCCTCTGACTGTGTACTCCCAGGGCTTTCCAAATGCACTCATTTGTCCCTCTTTCTCTTTCCAGTTCTGTCTCCATTGATATTCTTGGCTCTGTCCCTGAATGGGTTTGCTGGCATCTGCCTAACATTCACTTCACTTACAGTGAGTATAACAGGCTTGGCCCGGTAGCAGAGCTGGGAGTTTGAAGTGAGGTTAGAGGTCGGGGTTAGAAATGACTGAGAGGGTAGTGAGTTAGTGGCTCAGTGGATGTATATTAAATATGTGAGACTCTGTAGGTCGGTGCCAAGGCTAGGCATGGAGCTGTGCGTGGGTGAGACTGTGTATGTGTGTATGTGTGTGTGTGTGTGTGTGTAGCTTGTGAATGTCTGTTGAGCTCTGTTCTGTACTAAGCCCAGAGTACAAACAAGACTATGTCCTCACCTTCCAGAAGCTTCCATTTGGGGATTGGGGGTGATGAACAGAGAACCCAATAAGCAAGTAAACTAATAAATCATGTCAGCAGTCATAAGTGCTGGGAAGAAAACGGTAATGTGATAGAGACGGGGAGGCGCAGCTTGAGACCACATGGACCTTTGCCACATTGCAGGGGTGTGTGTCTGTGTGAAAGGACTCTACCGAGTGGTACAGGCATATGTGAGGCTGAACCATGTGAATTTGCCAACACTTGGTCATATTTGCCCTACAAAACCAACTTTTTCATGTAGTGTGACCATATATGTGTGTGAGTGTCAGCATTTATGTATATATGTGTGTGTATAAGTGTTAAAAGTTTAGCAGGGAGGGAAAGTTCTTGTCTGGGCCATTTCGGGTTGTTTATCTCTGATGTGGCCAAACTGGGTGTTTTTGGCTGAATTTCTCCTCACCCCAGCAGCCGCCTTTAACTCCAGCTGGGGACATTTCACAACTCCCAAGGAAGCTGATCCCTTCTGATCCACCCCTCTGCACAGCAGCCCCTTCCCGCTGTGCAAATTGGCTCAGCCTCTAAATCTCTTCTGCTGGGGCTGGGGCAGGGGCAGGGGCAGGAGGCTTGACCTGGACCCTGCCCTGGACAGCTGAGGGGACTGGAGGGCCAGCAGGCTTGTGTCATCGCCTCTGTAATCTCTAGCCAATGGTAGGGCCAGGAGCCTGTCCTGCTCCGCCCCACCGTTGGTTGGCCCTGTCCCTGCTGACAGGCCCAGCCAAGGGTTTCTTGTTGCTGCAGATCTCCAACAGGCGCCAGCTGTTGACCACACATTCCCAGCCTGGGTTACCCCATGGGTAGCTGGCTAGTCTGGCCTTCCCCACAGTGCTTGGGCCTTCGAACCCTTGAGGGGCAGGGGTCCCGGCCCTGGCATCCTTCCTTGGTGTTCTCTGCAGTGTGCCTGGCAGAGCCCTAGTGAAACCTCTGTTCTGACGGGACTATTTGACCTCCTTTACTGTATCCCCTTGGCAAGAATGGCTCCTTTCTTCATTTAAACATTTTCCTTCCTGTTACTACTTGAGACCTCTGGACTGAGCCTCAGCTCTTCTCTCTGTGGCGAGACTAAAGTCTCTTTGTGACGTCCGATGTCCTAACCCTGAAGGACTGTGGGGCCAAGGAGGGATGTTCACAAAGGATGTGGAGGGCTTTGCCCTCCCTTTCTCAGGGCCTGGCTGCTGGACAGTGCAGAACATACAATCAATTAATTCATCACTGATGGGTGTTGTGGCTTGCTTTGCACGTCAGCGTCACCTCCTAGGTGACCCAGCCTGCCTCCTCAGTTTCACCCAGACCTCCCTCGTCTTTCCTTGATTTGTTTTGGTTCAGTAGAACCCATGGGTTGTGGTGTTTGGGCTATAGAGAAGGTTAAAGGTCACCTTTGTGTTACCTGGTCATCCCTGAGCACAGCCTTGCCCTGGCCAGAACAGGGGAAGAAAGTCTTTAAGACACTGTGAACTTGAGTATCCTTCTTTCCCTCTCTGCCTCCATTTTGTCATCTTTGACGTGAGTTAGATTCGAGCAGTATTTCTTAACTCCTGTTGATGGGTTATTCAGAGATGTCACCAGATAAAGGGGCTCCATGAACAACAAACTCCAGCAATCCTGGGATGAAACCAAGTTAAAATTTGTCTTTGAGGATACTTCTGGGAATCTTTAGGTGCTCAAGTACATTGAGAGTGTCAGAGGGGTTCAGAATGACTATGCCCCCCCCATATCACAAATGTCACTTCATATGATGTGCGTAAGGAATCATCCACGACAGGGACTTTTCTGTAGGCTGCTTGGGGCTCACTTTGAGAAATGCCAGACTAGAGCCAAGCTTTCTCCTGGGGTTCTGGGAAAGGGGAGCCCTGGATGATGTCAGAATACAACCTGCTCTCTGTTAACCTCCTCCTCTCCTTCCACAGCTGCCCAACATGTTTGGGAACCTGCGCTCTACTTTCATGGCCCTCATGATCGGCTCCTACGCTTCTTCTGCCATCACGTTCCCTGGAATCAAGGTATGGAGTTTTCAGTGGGGCAGAGAAGGTCTTCTGGGATATCTTTCTCTTTTCTTTTGTGCATGTGTGGCAGAGAGATGTGCAAGTGGGCTCACCCATGTTCATATATGTGTTAGCCAGAGGTCAACCTGGGCTGTCTTTCTCTATTGCTCTCCACCTTATTTTTTGAGACAGGAGCCTGGAGTTTGCACTTTCGGCTAGAATGTCTGGCCAGTGAGGCCCTTGGGATCCACTTGTCTCCATTCCCCTTCCCACTCCAGCACTGGGTTCCAGATGTACACTGCCATCCACGTGTGATGGAGATCCAAACTCAGGTCCTCATGCTGTGCAGCGAGCACTTTGCCTGTTGAACCATTTCCCTCATTCCCTGGGCTGTCTTTTTGCCTTGACTCAGGGACTGAGGGGGTGGGGTGAATGGTGGTCTTAATGCCCAGGAGGATATTTGGGATATATCTTCTGGCTGGTGAGCGACTTGGTTCAAGATCACAAAGTGAGTCTATGCCAGGGTGGATCCTGGTTAGGCCAGCTGGGTGGATCTGGGAGCTGGAGGCCTCAGCTTCAAGGTCCATCAAGTAATCAAAGCACTGTTTCCACAGGGACACAAGTAATCAAAGCACTCTTTCCACACAGCCGTGCTATTGTTTCTCAGACTCACCTTGAACAATTACTTTGTTAGTTTTGTGAGCACTTTTGCTTATCTTTCCTAAAGGAGTTTGGAGTGGACATGGGTGCACTTGAGGGGCCAGATTTTATCCCCTAGATGTTTAAGGGGGATGGTCCTTTGGAGCTCTGTCCTGCCCTAGGAAGAAAAGAACCCCCAAGGCCCAAGTTTCAGGAAGAGCGGAGGTTTCTCCCAGGCAGTGATCAGAACTCTGAGCAGGAGAGTGTCAGAGAGGACAATTAGAGACACTTCTCCCATCAGAGGGGCTGACACATTTGCACAAGATCCTAGTCAATTCAGAACCTATTTGTTCTGGAGTTAGGAAACTAGCCCATTGCCCAACCCCCTGCAGTGGATACACCTGTGTGTACTTGGGAGCAGCAAGATAAGGTTTCTCTGATTGAATTTACCCCTCCCACAGAGAATGTGCTAGCAAGGGGCAGGCTAAACACACTTGGGCCTGGGAAAGCCAGAGCATTAATTTCCCTCAGTCCATAACAAGAGGTGACATTTTGGTGTGAAAATCCGTGTATTTATGGAGTCATAGGTGAAAATGGTCATGCCTTTTCAAGGTCTTGGGAGTCTTCCTAGACATGCAGAGTAAGTCTCAGATACCTTCAGCACTCTGTAGGAAGGATGGCCCATCTTTAGTGAAGCTTAGGTGAAGGAGGAGGAGGAACGACAGGCTTTCAGGGTCTGGCTTTAATGTCTGACTTCAGTTCTCCCACCTGCAAACTGGGCACAAGGAAGAGGTCTTAGTGGCCTTAGGCATAGATTCTGCCTTGGTGGGGATGGGACAAAGTGGCTTCCTCCATGGCCTGCCCTTCCCCAACAGCTGATCTATGATGCTGGAGTGTCCTTTGTGGTCATCATGTTCACCTGGTCTGGCCTGGCCTGCCTCATCTTTCTGAATTGTGCTCTCAACTGGCCCTCAGAAGCCTTTCCTGCCCCCGAGGAAGTAGATTACATGTGAGTGTCTGGGAAGAGGTTGGAGTGGGAAGAGGGGACCCTCCACGCCTCCCATGGTAGTAGGTGGTTGAGGCCAGGGCTGCAGTGATGTGTTGGTCAGAATCAGCTTTGCTGTTAGATCTGGATTTGGAACTCAGCTTTGCAATGGCCTCAGCCCTCTAGCTCTGCTCTCTGTGCAGTGGTCCTGAGCCACCTGCTCACAGGTGCTTTTTATTCTTATTTTTTTATTTTAAAAAAATAAAAAATTTATTATTTTTATTTTATGTGTATGCATGTGTTGCCTGCATGTAGGTGAGTGCACCTGTGTTGTGCAATGCCTGCAGAGGACAGAAGAGACTGTCGGATCCCCTGGAACTGGAGTTACGGACAGTTGTTAGCTGTCATGTGGGTGCTGGGATTCAAACCTGGGTCTTCTGCAAGAACAGTCAATGTTCTTAACTGCTGAGCTATCTCTCCAGTCCCCTTTTAAAAAATATTTTATTTATTATTTTTATTTTATGTGTATATTGTTTTCATGTAGGTAGGTGCACCCATGTTGTACAATGCCTAAGGAGGTCAGAAGAGGGTGTTACAAATAGTTGTTAGCAGACAGTTAGCTGCCAGGTGGGTACTGGGAATCGAGCCCAGGTCCTCTGCAAGAGCAGCCAGTGCTCTTAACCACTAAGCCATCTCTCTAGCCCTTAATCTTACTTTTTTTTTTTTTTTTTTTGGTCTTTTTGAGACAGGGTCTCCCTGTAGCCCCAGCTGTCCTGGAACTCACTATGTAGACCAGGCTGGCCATGAAGATCTTCCTGCCTCTGCCTCCCGAGTGCTGGGATTAAAGGCGTGTACTACCATGCCTGGCTTTAATCTTACTTTTTAATTTTAATTTTTTTTGGAGACAGATCTTTCTGTAGCCCCAACTGCCTCCTGACATCTGAGATTAAAGGCATGTGCCACCATGAGTGGGTACCGGTGTTTTTCGTAAATAATAGAACTGGTTCGTAGAACTGGTGGTCAAAATGTGCTTTATTATTACTGTTGATATTCTTTTTCGTTTGTTTTGAATTTTTATGAAAACTTTATTGAGAATTTCATACATGTATATAAGGTTTTTGATCAAATCCATGCCCACTCCCTCCCCTCCAACATTCCCCCTCTGAAGAGGTAACCCTAAAATCTTTTAAGGGTTAGATAAAAGCTCCCAAATACTTTTGACATTTTTTGCTTTTGGAACAGAGTATGTTGCTGACAGGCCCAAGGACATTTTGACTTTTAGCTGAGAAACTGGCTACATTTCTTTGGGGTCTTTATACTCTAACTGCCTAGCCAATTCCTACCTCCTACTCCTATCAGCCATCCTCTGAAGGAGTTACCCAAATTGCCAATAGGGAATTGGGACGCAGACCGCTCTGGCTTCTTCCGTGTTGAACAGGGATACGGGGTGAGGCAATTGGAGTACCCCTTCAGTGGGTCTATCTAAAAGACGCCCAAATTGCATAACTCTTGCCTCTAATGGGAGAAGAAAGTCCTTGAATCACGAATAGGAAATGTGAAGAAGTAAAGGCAAGAGTAATTAGCATTACAAGTTCTAGACAGGAAACTAGAAAAATGTCAGAACAGGGCAATTTTCAAATGTTCATATGAGAGTCCATTGGAGTTTCTTGACAAGGGCTTCCAAAAGCATCCCTCTATTGGGTTATTCCTCATTTTTCTTTTGTCTTCCAAGGTTGGATGTTGATATTCTTTCTGGTTTTGGAGATGGAGATCAGGGTAGGTGTCCCCCCAAGAAATAGCATTAATTGTTATGTGACCCAAACAAGAGGCTGCTAAGGAATTATTAAGCATAGTACTTTTTGTGGGGAACAACCTGAATGCCAAATTTTGCCAGTCCTATTTCAGTTCAGCAGAGCAGGGGGTGATGATTCATCATTAACACATTGGGTAATGGTCATATAGTTGACATGTATAGAGTGCCTACTGTATACCAAGTGTTACACTTACTCTCCATACCATTCTCAAATAGCTGTGCAAAGTAGATTCTATTACTAACTCCATTAACAACAAAGCAGCACAGAACAAAGGGATTTTCCATGGGTGGCTGAGCCAGCAAGGATTGATGCCACCTTTTCTATGGAAATAGCTTAAGTGAAAAGGGCTCTGCTGCCCTTCATTTACCAGGCGTCTGTATAAGCAGGTGCCTGGACCAGACTCAGAACAACAGAGACAGATGCTGCAGTAGGAGCCTGTTAGCAAGCATGTCAGTGCTAGCTAAAGGGGTGCTCAGCACCTCAGGATAGACCCTAGTTGGCTGCCTAGAGGTGGGCTCTGCATGGCTAGTTCTCACGTGCTCTGGCCTGAATGTTGGCAGGAAGAAGATCAAACTCATCGGTTTGGCCTTGGACCACAAGGTCACAGGTGACCGCTTCTATACCCACGTGACCATCGTGGGCCATCGGTTGAGCCAGAAGGCCCCCAGCCTGGAGGAGGGAGCTGACACCTTCATCTCATCCCAGGGTATTCCTAGCACCTCAGAAAAACTTCCTGAGAGTGAGTGTCTAGTCAGGTATCCAGCCTTGGGGAGTGGGGAGAATGCATTCTCATCCCTTCTCCCCCTCTGTGGGGGTTGTAGATGGGGAAGTCAAGCTCAGTAAGGTCTGGGAAGTTCAGATGCAGGGCTACCCTGCTGGATTCTCTAGGTGAGGGTAGGAGGAGCTTTCAGCATGGGGCAGGATCTTTTGACCTGTGAGGCTGCTGGTTTCTTTGTCCCCTACCCTCCCAGCATGTTGCATCAGGCACAGCTAAGCCTGGAAACTTGGAGGCAGGGCCTTCCAACTCTGGCAGGCTCATGCCCCCTACTGGCCATAGGAAGAGATGCACCAACCTGCTGGCCACATCCCACATGCCTTAGGACTCAAGGACTTAGCTTCATGATTAGGGAATGGAGTGTGGGCTTTGGAGTAATGAGGGTTTGAGTCCTGCTTCCCATTGTGTGACATTTGTGGGACATTTGTCCTTACTCTCACCTTCCTCATCTCTTAAACCATCACTGACTGCACCTACCTAACAGGGAGGTTAGCTGTGCAGATGGCATGACTCCATGGATAGGGCAGCTCTTTAGGTAGTACAAAATGGGCCCAGCTATAAGACTAGTTAGCCCCCTCCCTATTCACTTAGGAGGATGGTTAAGGGCAGAGGCCTGACCCAGAGTCCACCTGTCAGTACAACCTTGTGAGCTCAGGCAAGTCATCTATCTGCCTGAGCTGCAGTTTCCTCACATGTAATGTGGGAAAAGCCCATCTCAAAAAAGAAAAAAAAAGTAGTAAAGAAAAGGTTGTTGCCAAATTTGATTCAGTGAGATAATACATGTCACGTGTGTGGGTCATAGCAACTGCTTCAGAGAGACTGCTAACACAGGAAGCATCTAAAGGTCACCTGAAAGTGTTCTATGGAGGTGGTTACAGAACTGGGCAGGAGCTTGGAGGCAAGTGCTACTGAATCTTTTTGTCTTTGAAGAAACCTGGTCCTATCCAAAGTTACAAAGTAGCGCCTCTAGACCCTAATGGACTGGGATGACCAGGGAAATGGAAGGTCTGGGGGCTCCTCCCCACACCCACTGTCTCCCCAGAGTCCATCCCCTTCCGCAAGAGCCTCTGTTCCCCCATTTTCCTGTGGAGCCTCGTCACTATGGGCATGACCCAGCTGCGGGTTATCTTCTACATGGCCGCCATGAACAAGATGCTGGAATTCCTTATGACGGGTGGCCGAGAGCATGGTGAGAGCCTGCTGAGACCCTGTGAGGGGGGAACTGGAGGGTCACCTGGCCCAGCTCCCCTCACCATGTCTCTCCTCTACCCACAGAGACGGATGAGCAGAGACAAAAGGTGGCAGAGACAGGTAGGGAGAGGAAGGCAGAGCCCTGGTGCGTATCCATGCTGCTGTGGCCCAGTCCTTGGACTTGGATTTGCCCTCATGGCTCTGGGGTTCTGAGAATCTGGGTCCAAGGAAGCTGTCGGGGCACTCTTTTCTCTGCTGGAGGTGGGTGGCAGTGCCCCCTAAACTGTTAGCACACTGACCCCACTTCCCTTCCTGCCCAGTTGGGTTCTACACTTCCATCTTTGGGGCCATGCAGCTGCTGTGTCTTCTCACCTGCCCCCTCATTGGCTACATCATGGACTGGCGGATCAAGGACTGCGTGGATGCCCCAACTGAGGGTGCCCTGAGTGAGGGTGCTGCCCTTGGAGATGCCAGGTGACCCACAGGGATGATGCTAGCAAGTGGCCAGGCTTGTGTCTACTGCACTGTGTTTCATTCTCCTAAGAGCCCTGGAAGATCAAGGCTACTGCCCCATTTTGCAGACGAGGAATCAGGCAGGAGGAAGCAGGACTTGCTTGTAATAGGAATAGCTAACCCTGAGGGCTGGCTCTGCACTAGGCACCTTGCTCAGTCTTATTGAGTCCCACAGTAGCTTTCTGAGGTGGGTTCGTGATGGTCCTCACTTGACAGATGAGGAAGCTGAGACCTGCACCATTAAGAAATGTACCCAAGATCACACAGCAGGCTTCTGAACCTGTGTCAAAGTCTACACTCCAAAGCCAACTTACCTGAGCATGGTGACTTGTGTCTGCCATCCAAGCACTCACAAGGCTGAGGCAAGGGATTGCTGTGAGTTTGAGGCCAGACTGGGCTACATAGTGAGTGCTAGGTCAACTTAGGCCACAGAGTGAGACCCTATTTCAAAACAACCAAAACGAAATAAAACAAAGGCTAAGGAAAGGGAGGACTGGTATATTAAACATCGATTGGTGTGTATTGCATTACCCTGTCTTCAAACAACAGACGTTGACTTGTGTGGTTCTGACCTGGGCTCTCGTATAAGGCTGTGTTCTATCTTTTGGTCATAGCTGTGCTATCTGAAGTCCTGCCTGGGTTGGTGAGCTTCTTCTAGGCTCAACAGTGTGACTGTGGGCAGGAGGTTCAGAGCTGCCCACGTGGCCCGTGTTAGGACAGACTGCTTTTGATAAGGCAGCTGGCTTCCTGACAGCAAAAGATCAGAGAGAGGAGAGAGCTGAAGACACAGACTGTTGTCTTTTATAATATAATCTTAGGAGTGACATAGTACCACTTCTGTCAGTCTGTTGGTCACACAGAGTAAGCTTGGTGTAGTTGGGGAGGAGTCATCATGGACATCTTGATGGCTGAAGGCCACAACTGGATCTTGAACCCAGTACTACTTGCTCATTTGTGAATCCAAATAGTCTGTTTGCCCTGAGAAGGTGGGGGAGGGGGACACTAGGAGAAAAGGCATCTAAGGATGAACGCAGTGGCTTTCTTCAGCTCACAGTGTCCCAGCCTACTGGGTGAGTAGCCTGCCCTCATCCCAGCCTACTGACCTCACTCCTGGGCTGGCCTCAGAACTCTTGGTTTTGCCTTCTGGGCAGTCAGGCCAGGAGTCCAGAGTAGCACTCGCTTTTGTCCAGGCTGGTGGGTGACTTGGTGCAAGGACCCCCTCTCCCATCCTCCATCTTCCTTCCCACCTGTGAACTTTGGACTTCAGTGTGCATGAAACAGTCTCAGGTTTCGTGCCACACCAATTCCTGAGCTTCACTTCTGGGCACTCTGAGTTTTAGGGATAAACAGTGCGTTTGTATTTCAAGCCTCTTGCCCCCAGTTGGTACTTGTCTAGTTGTTTGCGGCGGGGGGTGGGGGGCACACTTTGAGAAACAGTTGGAGAAAGGGTTTTCTTTGTTCAGGTGAATATGTGTGCTTGTACATACATGTGCACATGCATATGGAGATACCATCCACCTTGATTTTTGTTTTTGAGACAGGATTTCTCACTGGCCTGGAACTTGTCAGGTAGGCTGGACTGACTGGCCAGCAAGCCCCCAGAGATCCACCTGCCTCCACAGCCCCAGCGCTGGGATTACAGGCACATGCCACTATGCCTGTAATTTTTTTTTACATGGGATCTAGGAGTCTGAACTCAGCACTTCACCTACTGAGGTATCTCCCTTGGTGGAGAAATGGTTTTCTGCCTTTGCTGCTTTCCTAGGTGTGAAGGTACAACAGTAGGGGGTGGGGCCGGCTGGTAACCAAGGAGCTTCTAAGGAGTTCCAGGCCATGGCTCACGACTGCTTCTTTTCCTCAGGGATGGGGCTGCCACCAGGTTTACCAGACCACGCTACCGCAAGATCCAAAAGTTGACCAATGCCATCAATGCCTTTACCCTGACCAACCTTCTGCTTGTGGGTTTCGGCATCACCTGCCTCATCAACAACTTACACCTGCAGGTACGTACTTCCTCCTACCTCCCTCCACTGCCAAGACTCATCCCGTGGGAACACTATCAGCACCTGTCTTCTAGAAGCATGTCCTTTATCTTCTGTTCCAGGTCTATTTCCTGGTATTTGCAAGAGGCATGCCTAGTAGTAGACTTAGGTTGGTGGGGGTCGGGTCAAGGCAGGAATGTGTAGATGGCTCTGCAAGGCCTGGGTCCCTCATCCCGCTGCCTTGGTCTCTCTGACCTTCTCTTTCTTGGGTTTCAGTTGGTGACCTTTGTCCTGCACACCATAGTTCGTGGTTTCTTCCACTCAGCCTGTGGAGGTCTCTACGCTGCAGTGTGAGTCACAAGGGCCAAGCTGCCTTCCAGGGGTTTGCCTGCATAGCCAGGGACTCCCTGCCAGAGCCAAAGGGCTCTGACTTCTCCTAATTCATCCCCCTCTCTGCTCCACCTTGGATTGACTTGTCAGAGGGGGTGGGGTTATGGAAGCTTGTCTTTTCCCTCCCCTTGAGGACTCCCTCTCATGACAGGGAGCTGCTCACAAGTAGCCTGCCCCTCTTCACAGAGAGGCCAAAGTCATGATGTCTTTCCTGCAGAGAATGGTAGAGCCTGGTTTGATGAACTTTTGGCCCTGGGGCTGGGTTGTGGCCTCCCTCCCCATGCCTCCCTTTCTTAGCTGTGGTTGTCCCAATGAATAGCTCCAGTTTCCTTCTCTTCTCATTTCAACTGCAAGGCACTTCAGTGGATGATGTCATACAGGGCCTCTCTCTGGAAGGTACTGGGTGGGGTGCTTGGCTACCATTCCTTGTAGTCATCTCAGCACAGGGCAACCCCTGCATTCTGTTACTGTCCAAGCTAACACTTTGAGGTTGTCCTTGGTGTCTTCTTTCTGCACACTCATATCCAGTGTATCCACAGTCCTGCTGGCTCCACCTTCCACATGCTCCACATCCACCCTCCCACTTCAGCCCCACTCCAAACCACTGCTGCCTTGAGCTTGGATCATTGCAAGTCTGCATCACCTCTAGCTTGTGCCTTCCTCAGTCTACCTTTAACATGGTCTACTTCACTAGTTAGAACTCAAGTCTCTTCACATCACTTGTGGTTTCTCATCTCCTCTTGCTCAATTGAGAGTAAAGGTGAGGGGGCTGGAGAGATGACTTAGCTGTTAAGAGCACTAGCTACTTGCAGAGGACCTGGGTTTGATTCCCAACCCCCACATGGCTGCTAACAACTGTCCTTAACTCCAGTTCCAGGGGATCTGATGCCCTCTTTTGGCCTCCATGGGCATTACATGCATGCAAAACACATTTTTTTAAAAAAGTAAAGGCCAAAGGTCCTAAAGGTCTGGACCGAGGACCTTTTGTCATCTACCTGCCCCTCTCTCCCACTCCCTCACTCTGCTTCAGCCCTCACAGCCACCTTGTGCCTCAGAAACCCTAAGCATGTTCCTTACTCAGGGCCTTTGCATTTGCCGGTATCACTAGAACATTCTTCCTTCAGATACGTGCAAGGCTTGCAGCTTTACCTTCTCACCTTCTCCAGGTCCCTATCTAGCTATCTCTTGGTGGGAGCACCCCTGACCATTTCACCTTCATTCGTAAGCTCCTGGCCCCCATGCATGTCTCTATTTAGCCTTTCCCCTTAGCTCTTAGCACTAAGACACTATGTATTTGTACTGCTTATGCCACCTCTGCAAGATGTCCACTTGCTTTATTACTTTATCTCCAGCACTTAGAACAGTGCCTGGCATGTAGGAGGAGCTCAGTAAACATTTGTGGAAAGAATAAAGTGAGTAACTCCATGTGGGTCATCCTATCCCTGTGGAGGGACAGGGAGAGGTTGAACTGCCTGCTATTACCACATGAGCAGTAGGTCCTGAACCCAGCCGGCTGGCTCTGAAGTGGCAGACACTTCCAGGCAGGGACCAAAGGGCACATGCAGAGCCTGAACTCCGTCTGGCCAACACAGTGATAATGGGGGCGGGAGTGGGGTGAATGCTGGGCCTGAGAGGGCCTTGCCTCTGATTCTTGCCTGTTCCTCTGAGTAGGTTCCCATCCAACCACTTTGGAACGCTGACGGGTCTTCAGTCCCTCATCAGTGCTGTGTTTGCTCTGCTGCAGCAGCTGTTCTTCATGGCCATGGTGGGACCTCTGGAAGGAGATCCCTTCTGGGTGAGAGCTGGGCTCTGCATGGGAGGCAGGAGGCACTTTTCCTGTTGCTGGAGAAGGGGTAGGGCAGAGGCTGGTATGTGCTAGAATCCCTTACTATTTGCATCTCAGCCTGCAGGTAAACACAGTTCTCCCAGCCCCCAAATCAGCCTCTCTTGACCTGGCCCTATGGGTCTGTTTTTATTCTATTTTATTTAAAAAATGTGTGTGGGTGGGGGGTTGCATGCATGTTCACATGTGTATGTGGTGGGCACACATATTCACATATGGGTGTGTGTGCATGTGTAGGCCCAAGGCTAACATCATCAGGAGTATTCTTTGATCACTCTCTACCTTGTTTGCTGAGGCAGTGTCTCTCAGGTAAACCAAGGGCTCAATGATATGGATAGTCTAGCCAGCCAGCTTGCTTTAGGAATCCCCTTTCTCTGCTTTCTGAGCCCTGGAATTCTAGGTGGGCTGTCACACCCACCCAGCATTTATGTGATTCAGGGATTCAAACTCTTGTAATCATGTTTGCACAGCAAGAGCTTTAGACACTGATCCATCTTCCCAGGCCTAGGATCTGTTTTTATTAAGCTCCCAAGTGAATTGTGAAGAGGCCCAGTTATGATCCTTTGGACTGTTCAGGTGCCTCTGGTCTCATCCATTTGACTTGAAAGAGGCATTCTCTCTCTGCACTCTTGAAAGGGGGCTCCCTTCTTTTCTGGCTTGTGTGCTCAGTGGCAGGGTACTCATTCCTAACATTGATCTCTGCCCCATGGGGTGCCCACACTGCAACCCCACCCCCTGTGGGAACTATGATGGGTTAATTTCTCCCATTTACTGAGCAGTCACTGTGTGCCAGGCATGCTGTGGACCTTTTTTTCACTTAATCTTTGTCACAGTAGATCTGAGGAGGCACTTAGAGTTGAGATTCTTTGCCCAAAGTCACATGTAAGTCACCGAGTAAGATGTGACCTGAGGGAGCTCATGAAGGCGACCTTCCTGGTCTTGACAAGACATCTGTGCGTCAGGCTGTGTATCCATCCAATTCCTTTGACTATGCCCAAGACCCTCTTCTTGCCACCCTGAATGGGATCCCATAGGTTGGCATGTGCCAGCCCTCAGAGGCACCTGACCTGTCCAGATGCACAGTGCAGTTACCTTCCTTCACTCTGGAGAATGCTGTGTTTCAACACTGACCAGGCTATGCCATTTCCTACTCTTCTGTTCTCATCTTAGCCTGTCTGCCAGGCTGCTGAATGTCTTAGATACTGGTGGGACAGCGATCATACCCACTAGGTGTGACCCTATTTCTCTTTCTGGCCTGGGACCTGGAACACAAATGGCTGCCCTATCTTTTGAGTTGTCTCAGGCAGGCCCCTGAGGAGGATGTGTCTAACCAGTACCCACCTGATTTTGTGTCTTTCCGTGCCTTGAAGGTAAACCTTGGCCTCCTGATCCTCTCGCTTCTGGGATTCCTGCTACCATCCTACCTCTTCTACTACCGGTCCCGTCTGCAGAGGGAGTATGCTACCGGTTTTCCAGACCCGATGAAGGTGCTCAATGGCCCCAAAGGGGCTGCGTAAACTCCTGCCCAGGAGGACAGGCAACCAAGGCTTGAACAAATAAAGGGAATGCCCCAGATGGCTCTCTACCTGAAGCATGTGTGTAGAGCCAGGGGCCATGGGTTTATAAATACCAAGAGAAGTTTTATTTTTATAGGCACTTGCAAAAAGGAAAAACAAAACAAAACAAAGCAAAACAAAAAAACCCTTAAAAATATCCCCCAAAGCAAGCCTTTCATTGACTGAAGACAGTGCCTGGTCTAGTGGGATTGGGCCTTCTGGACTGGAGGAGACCACAGTGTGGGGTTGTCCTTTCTCCATGATTTTGTCCCAGGAACCTGCAAGGTTGCATTCTGAGAACTCATGGGATCAGTAAACAGACTACCCTAAGATTCCAGCTGCTGAGTGTGCACACATATGTTGTGTGCATGCATACATTGTGTGCACATGCATATGACAACATTTCCTGCAGGAGAGGGGCTGAGGTGTTGGGGTGTGGGTGGGACTGGTGGGCAGGCTCCCTCCCTGGTGGGGTGTGGGGGACTGGCGGGCGGACTCCCTCCCTGGTGCTGTTTCTTACAGGTCTTAGAGGAAATAAAAAGGGAAGTGAGAGTCTGGCTCGTGTGTACCTGTGAATAAGGGAGTGGGAGGGCTGTCTTCCCACCACCTCCATCTCTCTGCCTCATCTAGACTCAGCTGGCCATTAAAGTAGGATGCTTGGAATACCAATTTATCCTTCTCTGGCTGGCTGGTCACCTTGCTCTTCTCAACTATAATGCCCTTAGTGCCCAGGGGGAATCCAAATCCTACCTCCCCCATTTTCCAAGGTTTGGGGTATATCCAGGAAGCTGCTCTTTATGTATAGGATGAGGGCAGAATGCTTAACTCTAGTTCTTGGGATTTGACGCCCTCTTTTGGCTTCTGTGGGCACTGCACACGTGGTACACTTACATATATGCAGGCAAAACACATACATACAAAATAAAAGTTAATTAAAAACTCAAAGAATGAAAAAAACAAGAATGCTAATAGCCAGGCACAGTGGCTTCCACCTGTAATCTGAGCACTTGAGAAATTGAGGTAGGAGGACTGTCTTGAGTTTGAGCCTAGCCTGGGCTGCATAGTGAGTCCCAGCCTGGGCTTTAAAGTGAGACCCTGTCTTAAAAAAAAAAAAAAAAAACTGCTAAAGGAAAACTCAAACTTTTTTTTCCCCCCCAAACATTCCTCCTCCTCTTCCACTATGATCCGTGAGCCTTGAGGGTCAGGGTGTGATAAAGGTGTCCTGTTTAGATCTGAGCACTCTGCAGTCTAGTGCTTTGAAACATGACAGCTATGGGTTTTGGAACCGCACGGCTTTTTGTGTACTCCCTATTTTGTTCTATAGTGTGTTAAAAAAAAAAAAAAAAAGAACTGCTAAGGAATAACTCAAACTTTTTTCTCCCACCAAAGCATCCTGAAAGCAACACCTGTTTGTCGCCTCTTATTTTTGTCTTAAAACTTCGTGTAAATTTGAGTTTTATGTTATGTTTATATTTTTAAGTTAAAGCAAGGCTTTATAATTATCCACATTAAAAGAGGACACCATTTTGGATGATGAGAGACTTTCCCAGGAGACATAACCTTGTTTATCCCAGCCCTGCACCAGTCTGTGCCCCCGGACATAAAGCCTGAGTGGTTAGTCACAGACTGGCACGGTCACTAATGCCTGTTGAGGATCCACACAGGTGAGTCATTTCATCCCAGATATAGCTGGAGAGCTGTTTTGTAGTTGAGGAACAAGCCCAGAAAGGTTAAGGCAAAAGCCAAGGGGTACACAGTAGCAGGTAGTGGTCTGGGCAAGGCCCAGCACTCTGACTACAGAGGCCTCCCCACTGGGCAGCTGGACAGAAAAGATGACCCAAGTATACCAGTTCTTAGCTGGAGTGACTTTTGTTTGTATGTTTAAGGGTTTTACATTGTAGCCCGGGCTAGCCTAGAACTCACTGTGTAGTTGGCCTCACACTTGCAATCCTCCTGCCTCATCTTTCCATCCCCAGCTTTGGAGAGATCTTAATAAAGTCCCGATCCTCTTGTCGTCCACCACCCGTAGTGGGGAACCTCCAAAAGCTAGCACAAGACCATAGCATTCCGGATAAGTCAATGCTTCCTGTTTGCGGTGAGTTCTCTTGAGTTAATAACAGGATGACCCATCTATTTGCAAATGAGAAACCCGCTGAAAGACCTGGAGAGTTTGGAAGTCACACAGCTTAGTCTAAGGGACTCCTGACTTCCAGTGTGGCCCTATGTGCGCAAGAAAAATTCAGAATGGGAGGGCACCCACCAATGAGGTTGGCAGAGTCTCCCTGCACTCTCCGTCTGGACTCTTTGATTCTAATTTTGCCAACCTGTCTGAAGGAGGCTGACCACTATCCATCACGTGAACTGGCATACCAACCACCAGGCTGCGGGGAAGAAGCGCTCAGGAAGCTCGGTGTGTGAGCGCAGTCCTTGGTGTGACCAGCAGGCGGTGCTGCGTGTCTGCGGGTGGCGCAGCCACCGGGCGGAGAGCCAGGAGGGGAACCCCAGGCCCCTGCGCCCAAGTCCACCCTTGCGGGGACCTGGGCCTCTGGCTCCGCTACCTCTGCTTGCTCTGCTCTGAGCTCTCTCCAAGTCTTCCCTGACCACAGCTTTCAAGCGTTCTCTCTCCAGCGGGGAGGGGGGGGGGACCTCTAACCCTGCCCAGCTGAGACTAGGGGCTTGGTGCGAGATGGAGGCCGACGCGTGGGTCTCCCAGGAGAGGAGACTCATCACTCTCCCACTCCCGGGGATGGGGGAGTTTGGGGAGGGGGCTGGGTAGGGGCGGAAGCGAGCTAGAGCCGTGTTTGTCGCGGCGCAGCCTAGAGGAACAGATGGCTGGGGAGGGGAGAGTGCGTGGCGGGGAGGAGGGGTGCGGGGGCCGGAGGATGAGGAACTAGGAATTTCGACGCCCCGAGTCTCCCAGGAGAAGCCTCCCACCCCCCAGCTCTTCCCAGAAGGAGGGGCGGGCGAGTGCCTGCCGTTTTACCGCAGCGCACTGGCAGCGACTTCGCGCGGTCGGCCGCCCCAGGCGCGCCCCTCGCTGGCCGGCTCCTCCGGTGGGGCGAGCTGGCGGGCTTCAGGCCACCGGGGCTCAAGAGTTAATGGGGCCACGATCCGAGGAACGAGGGGCCGCGGGAAGCGGGCTTGGGTTCTGGGAGCGAGTTCAGGGATCTCAAACAGCTCCGGGAAAACGTGTTAATTGGAACTTTATGAAGATGAGTGGGGGCTGGGGGTAGCGGGAGGGGACAGGTCAGAAGGGGTTCTGGACCGAATTGAGTTCCCAGGCAAGGGCCCTGGATAGGGAGGGGACGCACGTGGGCCCACATATTTTTGGGATAACCCTCCGCCCTCCGCGCGCTCGCGCCGGAGGGTCACTAGTCTTGGAGGGTGAGACGCTGGTTCTCTGACCCTCCGCCTCAGAAAGCCGGTGAAGGGCCATGTGGGATCTAATATCCCCGAATTTTGGGTCGGGCAACTGCTGCGTTTCTGGTGGCCCTGTAGAGGGGTGGTTGGGCGTACCCTGCAGGTGTCAAGTTCCGCTTCTGGCTGCTTCCCAGTCTCACCTTGGCTGTGCCCCACCCCCATCTTGCTGGCTCCCCCTCTCCCGTCTTTCTGTCTTTGTATCTCCCCTCCCTCCCTCCCTTTTTCAAAACTAGCCTTGTAGCTCAGGCAGGCTTTGAACCCCCTGTAACAGTCCTCTTGTGCTGGTATTAAAGGCGAGCACCATTCCTCAGACTGGCGGCACCCTCCATCTTCTATTGACAGGATTCTCCTTTGCAGCTTCCACCAAGTGTGCACCAAGGACCATCTAACTTTCCTCTGTTAGCATTCTTCCTGTCTGCTCCTTAAGGCCCCTCCGTCTCCACCCTTGAGGAGATGCTTCTCGGACTTTAGAGAGCTCACAGCCCACCCCCACTTGTTAAAAATGCAGATTCTAGGACCCCCAGCCATCTGATTCAGCAGCGGAGGGGCTCAGGAATTCACTTCCCACTTAATCAGATGCACAGGAGGCCCTTTTTAGAAACACTGTACAAGAGATGAGTGGGCTGGAAAAACGGGGGATCACTTCCTCCCACAGCGCCCCCTTCCTCCCCTCTGCACGACCTGGCACGGAGAAGGGGCAAGGGCAGAAAAATGAAGGAAAGAAGGAAAAGGGGGAGGGAGGGAGGGAAGGAAAGGAAGAGATTAGATAAAGGAGCTGGTGGCTGTGCTTGGTGTTTTTAATCTCAGCACTTGGGAGGCAGAGGCAGGTGGTCTACATAGGCCAGCTGGGGCTGCAGGGAGACCCTGTCTCAAAAAGACCAAAAAAAAAAAAAAAAAGAGGGGGTCTGCACCTGGATCTCTGAACATCTTCCCCCTTCCCTCTCCCCTCTAGGTCCCCCACCATTTGATTTCTCTGATTTTTTTTTCTTCTGTGGTCAGTCTTGCCCACTTTGTAACCTTCCCACCCTCTCCTCATCTGTAGTTCTTGAAAGGTTTTTGAGGCACAGGCCATTTGGGTTTGATTGGGGATTTCAGAAACAACTAGGGTCCCTTCCTTTAAAACAAAGCCAGAGCCACTTCTAGGGATGGAAGAAAATAGGAAGGGAGGAGACAGGACTTGGGAAAGACAGTCCTGCTAAACACATAAGTCATCTTCTTGTGGTCTGTTAGGTGTGTGCTCCCCACAACAACTCAATGAAGACAGGGACCCTTGCCCCCAGTTACTCAAACTACCAATATCAACAAAAACAGATGTTAGAAGAAACTTGCCAGGTCACATGCTAAGAAGTAGGAAAATATCAGAACGTTCACCCTTCTACTCCCAAACCATTTTTCCTGAGGATAGCTGTCCTAGGTTTGCCCTCCCCACCCCCAGGGGCAGGACAGATAGGGAAGGGCATGGTGTACAGATGGAAGGAGATGGATACTCAGGTTTCGGAACATCTGACAGGTTTGGCTGGAAGCATTAAAAATTCATGGAGAAACCTGACCCCAGCTGGACCTTGGGCTTGCCACCTGGACTGTCCCTGGCTTCCTGGCTTCTCAGAGGCTGCTGGACAAATGTCCCTTTTGCAGGGCCCTGGAAACGCCAGTCTTCAAATTTCACAGAAAGCTCTCAACAGATTAGAGATCTAAAGAGGGGAGTCAGCCGCTCAGAAAACTGGGCTGAGAATGCCCATGTCACCCATCCCTAAGTCTGGGTGTAAGAACCTTAGAGGCTTAAGGGCTTATAAACTTTATCATTTGGCGTCCTTCTATTCTTCTCCCTATGCTCACTCTTCAGTTTAGGGATGATTGAAGCCTGGCTGTGCTTTCCAAGATGGCCAGCAGAGGGCAGAAACCTCTCTGAGGGAGTCAGAGTCCAGTATCTAGCTGAGCCTTGAAGGGCAGTAAAGAACCCACCATCTGAGCAAAGAGAAGCAGTCTTGGCCTGGGAAGGGCTCTGGGGTCTGTGATCTGAGGAATGAGAACGAGTTTCCTAATTTGGGGGAGATGAAGTGACTTTAAGGATCATTCAAAGTAGGTTTGTGAGTTTCTAGTGTACCAAACCTGGTGGCCAGTTGAACACAAGCATTGTAGCTTTGGAGAAAAGAATGGGTTGGTGGTGAAAGAAGGTGAAGGCCGGAACAGCAGCTGCTTTTGGAGTCTGAAATACTTCTGATGCCTGACTAAGGTGTTTCACTTTAATTCTGGAGGCAATTGGAAGCCACGATAGGTTCCTGAGTGACACAGTGACATGAAGCATGCACATTTTGGCCAGATGGGTCTGGTCACTGTGGGCAGGCTGGGTGGGAGGGGAGAGACCGAGTGCAGGAAAAGCAGGGTAGAGACTACTGCTATTTTCTTTTATATTCTAGGCACGAGGTAATGAGGAACTGCAGTAGAGAGATGGTGGGGGCTAGGAAGGAGAGAGAATGGACGGGGGCCAGGAGGGAGACTAGGGAACCGAGTAGATATAGATTAGAAAAAGGAGCTAACACCAGCGACATTGAGTGTCTGGCAGATGAAAAGCATGCAGAATGGGGCACATTCATAGAATGAGGGAGGTGAATGAATTTTGTTTCTTTCAGGAGTTAGGGGAATCATGACAAGTCCATTCCTTGACTCTTTGGCCTCAGTTTCATCATCAGAACATTGGTGGGGGTTGGGGAACATAGTTTTGCCTTTCTCTCCTATTTTGGGGTGTGTGGCGCAAAGCTGCCAATCTGGATTGTTCAGAGAGGCTTAGAGGCCTGAGTGTGTGAGATCTCTGGGGTTGGGGTCTTGCGTGAGTGGGTGTGGGTACATGTCTGTGTCTGGGGTGCATCTGCCTGTTTGTGGGACCCGTGGGTGGCTGGCGTGCCTGCATGTGCTGTATAGCTCTGTTTGGTGTGTGTGCGTGTGAGGGAGAGCTGAAGAGGGTGGGTGCGCACGTGATGGGCGTCCATGGGTCTGTCTGAGCTGGTGGTGGCCATGGTGGGGGCTGGTGGAGAGCAGTATTGCTCTAAGCTTCTTCCTGAGGCTCACACACACTCCTGCCTCGCTGTTCTGAAATAGCATCTGGACTGAAGGCCCATGAATATTTCACAACATTAATTCTGTGACCTGGACAGCCTGCCTCTGATTTACCAGCATACTCCCCTCCCCTGCCCTAGCCCAGAAGCCTCTCCTTCCAACACAGTATTTGCCTGGCTCATACCTCCCATTCTACTCATGAGCCTCCTCAGAGCCAGCCTCACACAGGCCCCAGTAAGACCCCAGACTCAGAGCTCTCCAGTTCTGACCTCTCACTAACACCTCACCCATCTCACTTCTCTCTGAAGTCCATCTGCCATAGACCTCAGATGTTGACTCCTTCCTGTTTCTAACTCCTTTTCTAAACCATCCTTGGACTTCACTGGGCAGGGCCACAAGATCCCAGTGGCATCCCAGTCCCTGAAGCCCTAGCACCCATGTTTTTATGCCCTGTCATTCCAACCCTGTTTTTTTTTTTTTTTTTTTAAGACAGGGTTTTCTGATAACTGTCCTAGAACTTGCTATAGAGATCAAACTGGTCTTGATCTCACAGAGATCCACCTGCCTCTGTCTCTCAAGCTGGGATTTTTAATACCACAAACCTGGCTAAGTCTGAATTCTATTTTTTTTTTATAATTTACTTAAGGACAGTTTGCAGCTGCCATGTGGGTGCTGGGAATCAAACCTGGGTCCTCTGCAAGAACACTCAGTGCTCTTAACCACTGGGGCTGGAGAGATGGCTCAGCAGTTAAGAGCTCTGACTGCACCTACATGCAGGCATGATACTCATACACATAAAATAAAAATAATAAAATAATTTACTTTTATGTGTATTAGTGTTTTGCTGGCATGTAAGTGCACCATGTGCATGCAATCCTGGCAGAGGTCAGAAGAGGGTGTCAGATCTTCTGACTGGAGTTATAGATGGTTGTTAGCCACTCTGCAGGTGCTGGAACTGAACCTGGGTCCTTGGCAAGAGCAGCCAGTGCTCGTAACTGCTGGGCCATCTCTCCAGCCCCTAAACATGAACTCTTCATCATTTCCATCTGATGAGACTCAGGCCTAAGCTTTATTCTTGGTCCTTAACCTGGGCTTCTCTTGACCCCCAGTCTCTTCTCCACTCACCAGAAAGAGGAAACTTCTAGTCACACTGCAAGCCAGTGAGGCACCTGAAGTTGGATTTTTTTTGTCCCTTTGATCACCTTAACGCCTTGGGCTCTTCTGCTAGGAGAACTGCTTCCCTGACCTGGGTCTACCCCTCATGGCTTCTACCTCACAGAAACAAAGGAGATGGTTCTAGGGCTACTGAGTACAGCATGGAGACTACACAAGGGCATTCAGCCAAGGATACCAGATGAAATCTCTTTGGCCCTGTCCTCTGAGGCTTTTGTTTTGCTGTGGGACTATGTTCTCCTGAGGAAGAGGTGCCTTTTCCAAATATGTCCAAAGCCATGTTTAGGCTGGCTGTGCCCATGGGTGTCTGACAGCTCCTTGTAGGGGAAGATGGGAACTACTTTTCTTTTCCGAAGGTGCCCTTGGCCAGGCTGGTGGCCACTTCCATATTCAATTGCTCAGCCACCAGACCCCTCAGAATTAGCTGCAGCTGTTTCCCCAGGGCAAATGGGATGGGGTGCCATCATCACATAGCACAGACTGTCACATTTGGCCCCTCCTGGCTCTCCTCAGCTTTTTGCCTGTTACACCCACTGAATCCCCACAGCAGGAAGCTCTGGCGGTCAGAGATGGCTTTTCCTTCCAATCCTGAACATTTACAGTGCTAAGCACTTCCTCCTGCTTTTGAGCTCTTGAGCCAAAAAATCTTACAAGAGATAAAATAATAGAATTTTTTAATAAATTTTTTTTTCCCAAACAACTTCTTTTGATCTTCACCACGGCGCCAAGGTGGAGAGGAAAGTTCTCTCCAGGCACCCTAAAAAGTGTCCCGGGTAGACTTAGGAGAAAATTATTCCTCCAGTGTCAGGAGGTTGAAGGGATGGGCAAGCTGGGCCCAGGGGCAGCCTGGCCCTCGCTGAGGCATCCCTCCCAAGGTCCTGGGGGGGCGGGAGGGGCGCTCCCGGGGGGAGCTTTCAAAGGCTCTGCTGGTGGAAGGTGCTCTGCAGACAAAAGCCCCTCCGAGTCCACTGTGGGCCCTGGAGAGGGGGGGGCAGCGGCTGCCTGGAGTACCCCGCCCCAGTCTTGGGATGGGGAAGAGGAGTTTATGGCTAGGATCAGGGCGAATGGGCCCAAGTCACCGTACACACGGTCTTGGGGGCCGCCATAAGAAAGTCAGAACAGCCCGGAAGGCAAAAGAGGCAGAGCGGTCCCCGGGAAGGAGAGGAGCTGGGAGGCCAAGGAAGGCAGCGAGGGGCGGAGGATGGAGCCGCGGCTCGGTCGCGGAGAGAAGGGGTCGGGGCCGTGGCCTCTTCCGTCTCAGCACCGCAGTCAGAGGTGATGGGGCGCCAGCAACAGGAGGCAGAGCAGAGGGGCGCGTAGCCCGGCCGAGAGCGCAGGGCCACGGGAGTCCGGGGGAGCCTGGCACGCGGCCCCGGGACACGTCTGCTCGCCCCGCTGGTCCTCGCCGCCGTAGCCTCCCCAGTAGTCGTCCTCGGTGGGCGCGTCCCCGCCCTGGCGGCCCCGCGAGTCCTCGGCCGGCAGGTCTCGGTAGAGCGTGGACGGGTCGGCGGGGGGCGCGCCCGCCTCCGCCACGCCGTACAGGTGGTTGGAGGAGCTGTTGCCGCGAGCGCGGCTGCCGGGCCGGGTCGGGGTGACCGGCGGGCAAGCCAGGAAGTCGGCCTCGCGGAGCGCGCGCAGGTCCCGGCCCTGGCGCTCGGGCGGGGTGGCGCAGGTCACGTCGGAGCTGGACACACGGGCGCGCTGGAACCAGGCCCAGAGCGGCCGCGCGCGGCAGTCGCAAGCCCAGGGGTTGGAGTTGAGCCGCAGGAACTCGAGCGCCGGCAGGTCGGCTAGCGCCTCTCCGGGCAGCGAGGCCAGGCTGTTGTTGAACAGGTAGAGGATGGTGAGGCGGCTAAGGCCGCGGAAGGCCGCGCGGTGCACGCCCTGCAGCCGGTTCCCGTGCAGGAGCAGCCGGTCCAGGCTGCCTAGGCCACGGAACACGTGCTCGGTGAGCAGCCGCAGGCGGTTTCCGTGTAGGAAGAGGTGGCTCAAGTTGGCCAGGTCCGCGAACAGGTCATCCTGCGCGGGGTGGAAACACAAAAGAGTGGCCTGAGGACCAGCTCCATGCAAGGCCCTGAGGGAGGAGGGGGGGCAGGGGCAGAGCAGAAGAGTGGGAAAGGCCTTGACTTTATTTTTTTTACTTTTTGGATAAGGTCTCATGTATCCCAGGCTGTCCTCAAACTCGCTGTGTAAACCAAGGATGACTCAGAACGACTGATCCTCCCACCTCCACCTCTGGAGTGCTGGGATTACAGACTTGAGCCACCGTAGGAGGTTTATGTGGTGCTGGGAATCAAACCCAGGGCCTCCAGCATGCTAGGCACTGCCCTACCAACTGATTCCAAATTTGAATCCTGCCATCTTCTAACCTATTTCCTGTGGAAAATCTATATAATTGAGGTTAGTGGTGCCCCCCCCCAGGGGGGACTGAACCCAGTACATCAATGGCAAGTGAGAGTTCTATTGCTGAGCTGCATCCCCTGTCGTCCCCCCCCCCCATCCTCCTCCCCAACTTTGAGAGAGTCACACTATATAGCCCTAGCTGGCCTGGAACTCACTATGTAGACCAGGCTGGCTTTAAAATTCTAGGTGCTGGGACTATAGGTGTGTGCTGCCACAGCAGTCATCCCCTTCCCCTTTTTAACTTTTATTTTGGAGATAGAGTCTCACTGAATTGCCCAGGCTGGCCTTGAACTTGCTGTGTAGCTCAGGCAGGTCTTGAACTTATCACCTCCTTGCTTCAGTCTCTTGGAATAGTTTGGATCACCACTCTGCACCACAGTACCTGGCTAGGTCAGTGGGTCTTAAGTCTTACATTATTTTGAAAAGTTTTGATTTCTTTCTCTTTTTTTTATTTGTTATTTTATGTGTATGCATGTATTACCTGCATGTAAGTAAGTGCACCCATGTCGTGCAGTGCCCAAGGAGGTCAGAAGAGGCTGTCAGATCTCCTGGGACTGGAGTTACAGACAGCTGTTAGCTGCCATGTGGGTGCTGGGATTCGAACTGGGGTCTTCTGCGAGAACAACCAGTGTTCTTAACTGCTGAGCCATCTCTCCAGCCCTGATTTATCACTATTTTATGTGTTGGAGTGTTTTGCCTGCACGTATGAAAGTGCATCTGTGTCACACAATGTCCATGGAAGCCAGAAGAGGGTGTTGGATCCCCTGGAATTGGAGTTACAAATGGTTGTTAGCTGAACCATTTGTTTGGGTGCTGGGAACTGAACCTGGGTCCTCTGCAAGAGCAGCCTTTGCTCTTAAATGCTGAGCCATCTTTCCAGTCCCCAAATTTACATTATTAATTTAACCTGTGTGTGTGTGTGTGTGTGTGTGTGTGTGTGTATGAGTGTGGTAAGAGGGCAATTTGTAGGAGTAGGTTCTCTCCATCTGGGCTCCAGGGATCGAACTCAAGTCATCAGGCTTAGCAGCAAGCTCCTTTACCCACTGAACCATCTTGCCAGACTTCCCAGGTGATTCTTGATCCTGCCCAGTTGACAGCCAAAATCAACCATCTCACGGGGATGCCATCTCATCAGCCTGGTTCTTAAATCTTAGACTGTCTCCCTATCCCTTGCAGATTTTCATGGCTGCCAGTGTAGCCTGAGAAAAAGCCTGTCTTCCAGGTGATGCTGATGGGGTTGTCTGGAGACCGTGTTTGGAGCTCGAGAGTCAGAGCCTGGTTCTGTCATGAACTGACTGTAACACCTCAGAAAAATCATTCTTGCTGTGCCTCAGTTTCCTCCTCTGTAACATGTGGTGATCAAAGAGAGGAGCTTGTGTTAAAGTGCTTGCAATAAGTTTTCCAAATGGCAAGTGTTGTATGAGTTAGCCATGTTTTTCAACTTGGCCAAGTCAATAATATCTCTAAGCATGCTTTCTCCTCTGTAGAGATGAGTGTTCGTACTTCATGGGTCTGTTCTGATGATCAAAGAAAGCAGTTCGCATAAGGTTCATGGGGGTGGGCACACAGAGATTTGGTTCAGTGTTGAAGCCCACAGACTCAGGAGTTAAGAGCACTGACTCAAAATGCAGCTTTTCTTTTTCTAGCTGCTGGGCAACTTGTTTAATCACATTGAGCCTCAGTTTCCTTTATACAACAGGAGGAAGAAACTTGAGCAGACTAAAGGAAGGTTAGATATTATGATGCTGACAGCACTTGACAGAGACATCCACAACCCATGGTTGTCATGACAGCAGGGGCCTATTTAGGATTCTGTCCCACTCTCATTCCCTTTCCTCTAAGAGAAGAGGTCCCTAGGGACCAAAAGTTCTGTTTCTGGGATGAATTACTCGGGACCAGTGTCAGTAGGTTCCGTACCCCAAAAGTAGCAAAGGAGGAAGGAAGAAGCGGTTCCTGGTGCCCTGAATCCCTGTCCCTTTTAGAGGGTAGGGGACAGCAATCTGGGGTGGATAAATCATATCAGCGCTGGGAGGACCTTGGGATTATGGCTCAGAATGAACAGGTGTGGGTGTGGCCATAGAGGGTGGACTCTGAATTTTAACCAGTGCACCAGGAAACTGATGGTCAGCTGATTTGGGGCTGTAGCTCATTGGTGGAATACTTGCCTTTCTATGTTCAGAGTGCTGAGTGTTGGATCTCCAGCATCACACACACACACACACACACTGTGTGTGTGTGTGTGTGTGTGTGTGTGTGTGTGTGTGTGAGAGAGAGAGAGAGAGAGAGAGAGAGAGAGAGAGAGAGAGAGAGAGATTTGGAGCTAGTACTCTAGTACTTTAGGATCTACTAGCCCCAAATGAAGCTCACTCCAGAGATGAAGATTTTCTGCCAAAGCAGCTAGAACTTCAGTCCCCTCACCCCACTGCTTTGAGGTCCTCCCCAAATTGCTGTGGCAGGAGGTCCCAGGACATCTGGTTCAAAATGATCTGAACAACATGCCAGTTCACTTAGGACAGGTTCCCCAACCCTGGTTCTCCCTCCTTCCCTTCCTTTCTCCCTCCATCTCTCCCTCACTACCTGAGGAGATAGTCCCCTTCTCATCAGATCAGGGCACCTGGTCCAGGTTGGAGGCCTCAGGAGGGGGAGTATGCTGACTCAAAGCCCACACCCACAGCCTCCACCTTCCTGTGCTCCTGTGTGTTCGCACCCCCTCCCATCTGCCTTCTGCCCTCTGCTACAGTAACTGAGTTTGCAAGAGAATCTCTTGTCCACACTGAGATCCATTCTCCTCAACTTTCTTGCTGCCTCTGATACCAATGCAGCCTTCTCCGCCCCTGAATCCCTGCTCAGATCCCCAGCCCACCTGCCCACCTCACTGCCCTTAGCCTTGCTCATCCCTCCTGGGCATCCTTCCCCAGAGCCTCTTTCCCCAGTGTGCCCTGAAGGTAGACTTTGAAACCTTTCCACTCAACCCCTCCCTTAGGGGGTCTGTCTGTTTAGTGTGTCTGCAATATAGGAACACACCCAGAGACAGATGTTCAGAAGAGCAATCTGAGGACACAGGAGACTCACTGGATTGCAGCCCTTTGGAGGCCTGGGGGTCTAGAGGGGAAGACAGGTTCAGACACCCCAGGGAACTGAGATGTTTCTGGCCCACGGTCCCCATTTTTATTCTAACCCCTCCTCAGTATTTCTTGGCTAAAAGTCCTGCCCCTCCCCTCTTTGAGCCTCAGCCTTGGGGTCATTTCCCCTCCCCTACCCAAGTGGTAGCCAAATCCCATGGCCACTTCCTGGACTACAGCTCTCAAATCTGGTCCTTCCTCTCCACTGTTAAAACGGTTCTCTGTGCATTAATAAGCTCTTGACTTTCACAGCTCTGGCCCTCCCCCATCACCCTCTCGCTTGCTCACCCCCTCCCTCCAGGCTGAGAGCATCTGCTACAGTCATCCTCTTCCATTTCAAAAACCACATCTCCCTTGCCTCCTGCCTGGCCAGTTCACAGCTTTCGGTATCCATTTGGAATCTAAATGCAACATCCCTGTACTCCCTCACGTTCCCTGAGAGTATCCTGTTCTTAACCTTGACTTCCCACAACCTTCCAGGGCCGGGATTGGTACTGATCTTATCAACAGCCCAGGCAGCATGACCTTGGATAGCTCCAGGCACCTCTCTGTACCTGCTGTTTTTTTGTTTTTTTTAATCTGTGCTGAACTGATTTATATATATTTTTCTCTCTTGCTGCATTGACTGGCCTGGAACTTGCTATGTCGTTCATGCTGACTTTGAACTCACTGGAGATCCACCTGCCTCTGCCCCTGAAGTGCTGGGATTAAAGTCTTGTGCCACCACGCCCAGCATGGAGTGGTTGATTCTTAAGGTCCCCCCCCATATGCTAATTTTGAGTTGGTGAGCACCAGAGCCTACTGAACTCATTCAACAAAGCTGAGTGCCTGCTCTGTGCCAGCTACACCCCCCTCCCCTGCCTGTGGTGCTCACCGGTCTATGGGTGGGCATCATCATCATAGGCGTCAGCAGGTGTGACATACTGAGTTCTCACCGAATGCCAAGCCCTGTGTGGCACAGATCCTGAGTAGTGGCTTAATCATCGATGCCACAAAGCACATGCTATGACTATCTCCTTTTGAGAAATGGGGGGCAGGGGGCTCAGAGAGGGAGAGCCACCTGCCTAGGGCCTATCAACACCAGCATCCCAGAGCCCAACAGACTTGGGCCAGCTCTACACTGTGTCCCTTAACAGTTGGGGACCTTAGAGTTGGTGAGTTCCCTGCTAAATGTTGAACTGCATTCACTGTCTACCCACTGTGTATTCTTAACGAGGGTCATCTTTTGTCCTCACAGCACTTCCTGCTCCGAACCAAGAAGGGACTATACGGGCTCAGAGTGATTAAGTAACTTACCCAAAAGTCACACAGCAAGTTAGAAGTGGGGTTTAGATTCAAACTCAGATCTGCCTGAGCACAAAGATTGCTTTAAACACCAGGCAAGCCACTGTAGTGACTAAAAGACAGGAGAATATTGTTTGGCCACCCTCCAGCAAGGCTCCAGCAGAGCAGGGATACTGTTTTTATTCACCCTGGCATCTCTGGCACCATGCACACTGCCTGGCATGTAGTAGGTGCCCAGTGAGAAATCTGGTGAATGAACTGGCCTGGCACAATGCCCAGCCCTCAGCAGACATTCTGTGAGAACCCCCACCTTTTCCATGTCCACCTGCTGTATCCTATCACCGAGCTTCCTCCAGAGCTCCCCTCCTGGGGCCAGCCCTGCTCTGTCCTAGGTCAAACCTGCTCCCCAGGTGTCACCCCAGCCACATGTTTCCTCACCTGCCTGTGGTATCTCCCAGCCTAGTTCACCAGGCCCTTCACAGACAGAAGCTGTCTCTTTCCTTGCCTATAAAGACCCAAGTGTGAAGATGCTTTCTTCCCCTTCCCATGATGCCCAATGCTGCCCACACCACAACTGTGCAGAACAAAGGCTTTCAAGTTCAGAAGACCTAGTGACCAAGTGAGGTCCCCTAGGCCTGGGCCTTAGCTGACTCTAGCTGTAGATTACTGTTCTTGGCCCAAGGGTGAAGGGTAATTTATTTGTTCCTGAGCTGTGTGCTCTGTACATTAACTCCTTTGCTCCTGGAGGCCTCTCTTCAGGAGGCATCATTTTTCCAGGCTGCCAGATACCAGAAGAGATGGACATTCAGAGGGGAAAACAATTTGCCTAAAGCTAAGTAATAAGAAGCTTGTCTGTGTTGATAAGGATGTTAGGATCTTTGGAGTAGTAGTAATAAAAACACAAGTTGGGAACTGGTGAGATGACTCAACAGGTAAAGGCCAAGCCTGACAACCTGAGTTCTATCACTGGGACCAACATTGTGGAAGGAGAGAACCAGCTCCTGAAAGTTGTCCTCTGACCTCCTCTGCTCTGACAGACAGACAGACAGACGACACACACACACACACACACACACACACACCAGCACACAAAAAAAAACCTCTAATGTGAAAATTCTTTAAAAACACCCCCACAGTTAAGCATCCCTAATCAGAAAATTTGAAATCCAAAATGCTCTAAAATCTAAAATTTTGGAGCAGCATGACACATTACCACAAGTGAGGAATTCCCCACCATGGAACTTCGTTTCATACACAGAATTATGAAGTGTGTATGAAACTGCCTTCAGGCCCTGTGTATAGATGTGTAGGAAACATGAATGAACTTGTGCTTGGACTTGGGTCTCATCCCCAAAATATTGTATTATGTGTATGTAGATTTTCAAAATCCGAAACACTGGCATCTGAAATATAACTGGTACCCAGCACTTCAGATCAGGACACACAACAAATAATAATTATTAAGGTGCTTGTATCTTGGAGTGTGGCCTGTGTTAAATGCCTTCCATTTTAATACCATAAAACTTCTAGATAGGGGGCTGGAGAGATGGCTCAGCAGTTAAGAGCACTGACTAGTCTTACAGAGGACCTGGGTTCGATTCCCAGCACTCACATGGCAGCTCACACCTGTAACTCCAGTTTCAGGAGATCCAATACCTTCTGACCTCTGCAGGCACTGCACAACACAGGTGCACTTACACACATGCAGGCAATACACCATTGCACATAAAATAAAAATAAAACACTTTTTAAAAGCTAGATAGATAAATGTCACTAAGTTGCCAACTTAGGGATGTGGACGTGGAGATGGAAAGAGGAGTTTGTCCAAAGCCATCCAGGAGGCTGGCAGGCTCCAGAGCAAGTGCTTCTGAAATTGAGGCCAGGCTGGGGATGGCTCAACTGGTAGAGTGCTTGCCTAGCACACAGAAAGACCTAGGTTCCATCCCCAGCATGGTATAAATGAACAGAGTGGTGCATCCCTTTAATCCCAGGCAGAGGCAGATAATTTCTGTGAGTTCAAGGCCAGCCTGGTCTACATAGTGAGTCCCAGGCCAGCTACAGCTACATAGTTGAGACCCTGTCTCAAACAACAACAACAAATGAAGTCTAAGGTCATCCTTGGCTATGTAGAAGCCAGCCTGGGATACATGAGACCCTGTCTTAAAAAAAGCAAGCAAGCAAACAAAAAAAATCCTGGCCCACTTAACTGTATTTTGTGGCACTGTCCCCCTAAAGCATAGTTAGGTCAAGTGCCAACTCCCTTTGGCTGTGTGGCATTCTGTGTCCCTGATATTTTTTTCTGTCCCTGTCATTAGGCTGTTTGAGGCTCAGCTTGGTGCTGATCACAGTAAGGGTTTAGTCACAGGGACAATGGCTTCAGGGTCTTATGTCCCATAATTCTCTGCCCCCCATTGAACACTCTGCAGTGAAAACCTTTGCTGCACAGGGTCTGTAGGCATGAGACAAAGTGGCTGAATGCACCCTTAACCATGTGGTACCAGGAAAATTTAGGAAGAAGAGAAATGGGATTCTATCCACAGCCTTCGTTCACCGAGATCTCTAAGACACAGTTCAAGCTGGGGCACTTCCCTGAGACTGGTGTTAAATAAAACTCATTTTAAAAATCATGGCATTTAGGCCAGGTGTGGTGGTGCATACCTTTAATCCCAGCACTCGGGAGGCAGAGGCAGGCAGATCTCTGTGAGTTCAAGGCCAGCCTGGTCTTCATAGTGAATCCAGGCCAGCTAGGGCTACAGGGAGACCCTGTCTCAAAAAGACCAAAAAAAAAAACCCCCCAAAAAACCCAAACCCCAAAACCATGACATTTAAACATTTATATAGCGCTTACTATATGCCAAGCACTATTCTAAGTGCTTCACAATTTATTCATGCATTAAATGCTTGTAAAATCCCTGGGAGATGGATGCCTGCATTACTCCTCTTTTACAGATGGGAAAACTGAGGCCTGGATTTGAAAAATGTCACATGCTTGTAAATGGGCAGTGGGAAACCTGTAAAATGCCTAGCCCAGTACCTGACACAATGTGTATCTACTGTGTGCTGCTAAGGTGGCTGTCATTATTCAGCAGTAAGACAGATTTTCCTAGTTACCATGCATTTTCCTGCCCTTCCTCCTGACGTTTGAACTCTGCTCCTGAAGGCTGTATTCCTAGTCCTGCATAGCATGGGTGCTCAAGACAAGTGTGCTAAATTATTACTATTGCTATTATCATGAAAATCATCGACTGATTTTTCCAACCTGGAGATCGATGACAGGAGGCAGGGCCTCCCAGGCTCAGGTGGGAAGGTTTGATTTGGGTCACCTTGCCCGGCTTCTAGCCAGGGACTGACCCGCCAGGGAAGGCTTCCTCTTGGGTGGTTAGAAGGGTGTGTTTTTGCTTCCTGGGCAACCAGAATGGGAAAGGTTGACTGTCAAACAGTCAGCATAATAACAATAATAAACAACAATTAATAATAATAGCAATAAATAACAATTACTGTTTTTCATTCTGTTTCTCAGAACATCCATTTCCCAGCTGTGTAACATAGTTTTACCTGAGGCCACAGGTTTGAGGGAGAGGATCTAAGAAGGGTGAGGTTTTTCCCTTATGCAGTCTGTTACCATGATCAGGGAAGAGTGCAGTTTCCATAGGACCCCACCCCCTGCAATGTCTCCACCTTTGTGCCTGGCTTGAGAAGTGGGTGGACTTGGGGGTGGATGAGAAAAGATCATGTAAAAACCTTTGGACTGGGGCACTGGGGAAGGGAGAGAGCACAGAAACACACACACACACACACACACACACACACACACACACACACACAGAGCCAGACATGGGTAAGTGTGCTGAGTGGGTGAGTAAAGGGAGACAGACAGAAGAGGCAGAGGGAGACGGGTGGGGGAGGCAAGTCAGGAGACAGACAGAGAGGGACAGACAGATAGAGGCAGTTGGGGGTTAGGTACAGAGAGATATAAACAGGATCCCTGATTGGGGTGGACACTCAGAAAGAGGGCGTAAAATAGACAGATGGAGACGCTGAACCAGGAAAGATGGCCTGGGAAGACAGGAGGGTCACTTAGGTTCAGAGAGGGGCAGCAGAGGCCTAGGGGTGGTGGCTGGCCGGCTTACCTGTAGATGGAGCAAGCTGTTCTCCTGGAGGTAGAGGTACTGCAGGCTGACCAGGCCTCGGAAGATGTTGCCAGGCAGGCTGCTGAGCTGGCAGCGGTATAGATGTAGTGACTGCAGCCGCTCCAGGCCCTGGAAGGTGTCAGGCTCCAGGGAGCGCAGGTGCCGGTTATCACCGAGGTCCAGCTCCTCCAGCGCCTGCAGGTGTCGGAAAGTGCCCGGGTAGATGGTGGAAAGGTTGTTGGAGAAGAGCCACAGGGTGAGCAGGTTGGGCCCGAAGGTGCCTGGCCTCAGTGATCGAATGAGATTGTTCTGCAAGAAGAGTCTCTGAGTGTTGGGTGGCAGAGACAGTGGCACTGAGGAGAAGTTGTTGGCCTGGCAGCTCACGGTGGGTGGGGAGGAGTAGCAGGTGCAGAGCATGGGGCAGCTAGGGGTCACTGGGGGCAGGGCCAGGAGCAGCAGCAGGCAGGCCGAGGCAGGACCTGTAGGGAAGAGTGAAGGCTCACTAGGTGGGTGGATGGGCTGTGAAGCTATCAGAGGTTGCTCCTTACTGAATGCTGGAGTCTGTCCCTGGATGCCAGGGCAGGGTCTGGATACAACCTCAGAACCTCAAGAGGCCTGGCCTCCTCCCATCACTCTCCAGGCACCTTTGAGGTATGCAATCTTTTTTTTTTAATTCTTCTTTTTTTTTCCTTTTTGATTGGGTCTCATGTAGCCCAGGCTGGCCTCAAACTTGATATGCAGCCTAGGGTAACCTTGAACTTCTGATCCCCCTGCCTCCACCTCCCCGGTGCTGCTATTTCAGATGCATGCCACAATGCCTGATTTATATGGTGCTGGGGATTGAACTCAGGACTGCTAGACAAGCACTCCACCAATATAGCTACAATTTCAGCCTGAAAAACCTCCTTTTTGAGGGTTAGTTGCAACACTAGGAGGGCTTTGTAGACAGCACTGTGATGTGTTTAAAGTTGCTGAATGAAGTGTGTTTAAAGTTGCTGAATGAATGTCTTTTCATTTCCATCTGTTTTCGATGTTATAAGCTTAACTTTGTTTAGGGATTAAGGTCAAAAGACCAAGGGTCAGGGTTTCCCTCCCTTTGTGCTGAAGCAGCCTGGGAATTCTTTGGGATGGGGCAGCCATCTTTAGGGCGTTAAGCTATAGCTCTGTCTTCTATCCACCAGCTAGCTGCCAGCAGCACCCTGCCCCCAGTTGTGACAATCAAAATGTCTCTAGACATTGCCAAATGTCCCCTGGGAGCAAAACCAGCCCACTTGAAAATGCTAGAAACTAACTTGAGACCCTTTGTGAGTCAAAGGCCTGTGGGTGTCCTGGTGACCCAAGTCCTCCTCCTTGCAGGCCTCAAACCTTTTGCCTTTCCACTCTGCAGAATCAGCTGGTGCCTTGGAAAGAGCCCCCTTCCCAGGGAGGGCAACCTGGGAAGAAGTACTCTCTTCATGGGCTGTACTTATCAAAGTCTCTTTCAGAAGCTCCCCCCCCCCAAGTAACTTTTGGAGGCTTGGTCTGCACCATCCTGCATAGGATATAAATGGGAAGGCAGGTGCAGGGGGTCTATGGTATCAAGAATGGGGCCTGTGTTTCTCTGCTACAGCCCTTCCATCCATCCATCCATCCATCCATCCATCCATCCATCCATCCATTTATCCATCCATCCATCCTGTTCTCTGACCTCTTGCCCTCATTGGAGCAGATAAATGTTCTGGCTGGAACCAGCTTGATCTCTGCCCTCAATTAGGATTCCCAGAAGGTGTCTGGGATTTTCTTCCTCCAGTTTGGCCTTGAAGAGGTGAGTCTGCAATCCAAAAGCCGGGCAGTCATCCCTATGGTTCGGAAGTCAGAGGTAGGAAGGCTATGGAGTTCAACATCTTGGGGTTCCCTGGAGTTCAGGAGGTGGGTAGCTGAGAGGTGACTGAGTGCCAGATCTCCAAGGCTGCAAAACTTTTTTGACTGTGATGTCTCACACGCACCTTAGAGGCTGCTGTGTGTATGAAGGTGTGCCTGTGTGTGTGATCTGAGAGGACGGTGTGAACCAGGTGCTCACTACAGGGGATGCCACACAGCCAGGTGGGCAGCGTTGGTACCACGTGTTCCAGTGTGCCTCTCCTGGGGAGCTCTACCCTGACGCAAAGTGGGACGTCTCTGATCTGTGTAGGGGGTATTCCTCAGCTCCTCACACCCAAACCCGGTTGTGTGTGTGTGTGTGTGTGTGCGCGTGCGCATGCGTGGGTCCCCCCCCCCGCGTGTACTGGCGGTCCTCCGCGTGTGTGTGAGTGCCGGGCCCCGTGCGTGTGTAGGCTGGGTGTGATGTAATATCAGTGACACAGCGCGGCTGTTCCATTCGTTCACACCACCTCCGCGTTTCTCGGTCCTTCTCACCCCTCCCCCGTGCGGCGTTTCACGATTACTTTTCTCCTGAGTTTTTCAGAGCCACGTGGGGTGGGGGACCCACGTCTCTCACCCCTGATCTGAACCAGGGGTGTGGGAATCCAGTGGAAGACCCTTGGATGGGTCTGCTGATCACTGAGGGTTGGGGCGTGGAATTGGAGTTTCAGAGCCGAAAACATCCTCTACTTCTCTACAGATGGCAACCGGGTCTCAGAGAGGGCACCACTTACCCAAGGTCACACGGTAAAGTAGTGCAGGACAAGGGCCAGAAAAGACTGTCCTGGTGTCCAGCTAGGGCACTTCTCTTACTGTCAGAGTTACCCTCTGAGCTCTGCCTCTCCAAGGACTTTACACCAAAGGAAGCCAAATCCTTCTCTGCTCCCTTAATCCCACCCCTATCCCCAAGCTCACAAGAGTGTGTGCTCCCATGGCTGTCAGCACACCCCCACCCCAGGATTAGGAGGCTTTTCCAGGACTGACTGCTATCCCAGGAGACACAGCAGAAGGGCTGGAAGCCCAGAAGGCCCCAGAGTCGGGACCACTCCCCTAGCTCCAGGTCCTTCTCCAGAGTGAACTGACAAGCCCCCATCCTCTTGCCCACATCTCCCTGACTTGCTCCTCGAGGTACTCATATTCCCTTGCTCCTGTCCTCTTTACCCCCACTGCCTCCCGACAGTCTTTGTCTTTCCTCCAGCAGGACTCACCTCCCCCAGCCTCAGTGGTATTCCCTGCAGGCCCTTTGAAGAGGGACCCTGAGTTGGGGCCCCTCCGTGGCAGCTGCTGCTACGTAACAGTGACTCTGTTGCCATTTCTGGCCTTCACTGCCGTGCAAAGCAGCTGTAACCCAAGGAGCTTCATCCATAATTCAGGTTGCGGCTCTCACTGGAGGCAAAGGAGGAGGGAGAGGTGGGGGGCTTTGGGCTTCTCTGCCCCCAGGCTGGGTTGGAGTGGGCACTCCAGGCGAGGCCAGGTGGGGGCTGGGATAACACCTTTTCCTCCCTCACCTCTCCTCTGTTCCTGTGTGCCCTTTTCTTCCTCTCATATCCCCTCCCTATGCCCGCTTTTCAAGCCTCTTCACAGCACTCCAGGCCCTCCCTTGAGGACCACAGCTACATTTCAGGTTCCCCCGTGCAAATCATGGGCAGGCACTGAACCTGGAGCAAGAGGTACAGTGTGTCAGAGGGAACAGGGTTGAGGGCTGGGAAGTGGAAGAGTCTGCTTCTAAGTGACAGTGCCCCTTTAAGTCCTCAGAAGGCTTGGTTTCTTCCCTCCCCTGCTGTGAAGGCCAGAGTAGGGGGTGCTTTCTGCAAGCCTCCCTAACCCTCTGCTTACCCCCTCCTCTAAAGTCAGCAGGTGAATCCCCAAATGCAGGGCAATGTGGAACTGGACAGAGGAATCACTCTGCTATTGAGCACCTACTGTGTGTCAGCACCCACCTCTGCATGCTGGCTTCTTTATTCATACAACCCAGTCTGTCACGACTCCTGGTGAGGTCAGTAGTACAAAGGTCCCAACCTGCATAGGAAGGGATCTGGGCTTGGGCCGTGAAGCACAAGGAAATGTTGGATCCAGGTTGGCAGGCTCAAGTACTAGACCCAGCTCGGAAGATGTCCCCCTCCCCCACCTCTTGGATGTAAGAGAGGCTAGCCTAGTGGTGAAGGGAGGACAGATACTGTGCCCAGATGTCCAGGCCCAGGACAGTCACAATGTTAGTTGGCTGTCTAGGGTCAAGGGGAGAAAGGGACCCAGGTTCTCTGCATCTTTTCATTCCTGGGCCCCAGGCTGTGGTTGCTCTAGGGGGCAGTACATTTGAGAAGAAGAGGTGACCAGTGACCAGAGACATGGCCAGATTTGGCCAGAGAAGGGAGTGGAGAGAGGCCAGAACATGATATTGATCCTGGAAAGCTCAGGTACCCAGAGCCAAAAAGGATCCATTCACCAAGGGATCATGGTCAAGGTCCAAGGGCTGCTAGACCTTGGAGTACCCAAGTCCTGAGATGAATTTCTCAGCCTGTGCCAACTGTTAGGCTGGAGACCTACATGGACCAGACTTGGAGGCAGGAACCAGAGTGCCACCTAATGGGGCAGAGGTGTCCTAGGAGAAGCAGATAGGCCTCTGGCTCTAGAAGGAGGGTCCAGCGTCCCAGATAGATGTACCATTTCCACATTCCACCTGCTGCCTCCAGAAAGGACCAGAGGCCTGCAGGGCCATATGCTGAGGGGGCAGGGGCTGAGGAGGTGGGGGCCTTGGGAGTGGCATGGGGGTGGTGGGATGCCAATGACGCAGGGGCCTGGGGAGGCACTGATGCCGGTGACTGGAGGTTTTAAAGCTGCTGCAAACAGCTTCTCACTCTGCCAGAATGTAACACCCCAAAATAAGCAGCTACTGTGGGGCGGCAGGATCCGACGACGGGGCTCAGAGATATAAATGGCAGCACTGAGCCAGCCAGGGTGCCCACCCCAAGGCGGCTGCTACCCTCTGTAAAGTCCTCCTTCTCCTTCCTCACAGCTGCCCTGAGACCCAGAGTTCAGGTTCCCTCGGAATAGACCACCAGCCACTCCCTGAAAGATGGGATGTGACAGGCAGGCGCTTTGGAACAGAGGGTTTCCCACATGGAAGTGGTTACCAGGAGTCTCTTTGTCTCCTCCCTGGGCAGCACCCCCATCCCTTCTCTTCTCTGTCTCTGCCTCACTGTCATCCTGAACCATCTCTAGCCCCTCTACCACATAAGAATTTGGGTCCCCAACCGCGGTGCTCATCCCTGACCATCTTCCCTGTGCCTGACCCTCATCCTTCACCCCCTGTTTCCTCCTGCTTCTAGTCCTCCCATCGCCTTCCCATCCCAGTCTCCAGAGCCCCAGTCCTCACTCTTTCCGTTATCTTCCCCCTGATTCTATGGTTTCTTTCCCTAGTCTCTGCATCCCTCTCCTGAGCTGGTACCCCATCTCCTTTCAGAGCTTCCTTGGGTTTCTCCTGGACCCACTTCCCTCGAAGCATTCCTCCTCTTGCCCCTCCCCCATCTCCCCATCTCGCCCCTCACTCCCCTTTTCACTTCCTCTTCCCTATTCACTTTTATCATCTTTGACTCCCTTCCTTCCTCAGACCCCTACCCATCCCGCCCCCAGTTTCCAGCCCACACCCTTGGCAGTCACTCAGTCCTTTCAACTAGCCTCTTTCTAGCCCGTCCGTGTGTCTTAACATACAGGGCCATTTGGAAATCCCTTTCTGCCCCCTACCTTCCCAGACAGCGCCCCTGCCCATACGGCTTGCCTTCCCAGGTGACTGGGAAGTGCTGAGGCACCGGGCAGGAGGAGTTGCTGAGTCTGCGCTTCCCCAGCGGATCTGAGTCCTCAGCGTTCCCCCAGAGCAGGTGGAGCCGGGACAGCGGAACCTGAGCCTCCTTCCCCTCCTCCGAGCCTGCTCAGCGGGGTCCCCGCGTCCCCCCTTGGTCACGAGCTCCCGGCACACTCCTGCAGGCTCCTAGCCCGGTGCCCTCCTGCGGCGGGCAGCCCTGGGGGCGGAGGCGAG